AATGCCAGCAGCAGATGGGTGGCCCTGGCAGATTTGTCCTGGTTAGTGCTTTTCCCTTCCAGTCTTGCGTTAGCCTCGGAATGACCTGTGTGTTTACGATACACATCGCTGTCGAGAAATAATTACAGTGTGGCTTTGCACATATCATGCCCATATGACCCCCACCTGGTTAAATCTCTCCCGGATGACTTACTGTAGTTGTAGGCCTCCATTTAATGCCATTTAGCTGGTCAAGAACAATCCAGGAGGAATAATAATAGCAAAATGTGTTTGTAGTGATTTCTAGATGTAGAGAGGGCTGAGCAAGCCTCCCTTTTGCTGTTGATGCCGTTGACATGGGGTGACAGGAGCCCAGGTAGGAGGAGCGCTGTTGTAAATCCTATGCAAGGGCCAGCAGTCATTTAAGAGTAGTTGTTTAAGTCTGAGTAACCGGGGCTGCTCTTTATTTATTTGCTTATGCTTATCATTTATTATTTGTCCAGCTAATCAGGTTCCGGTGTCCCAGAGTTCATTTCCATTCTTTTCCTTATGACTATTCACTACCAAGTCTACTTTGGATGGTTTTTCCCCCCCGGCTTCCTCCACAGGCTGCTCCATAACCATGCTGTGCAGAGCAGTGTGTATGCCGCCTTTTCACAGTCTGTTGGACAGACAGAAAGTTTAGCTCTAGGTAGGCAACCGGCTCCCTGTAAATGTTTTAGTTAGAGAAAGGATTTCCCTGCTAAGCAGCTGGCTGACCGGACAAGTTTTAAATGTTTTGTGTTATGAACAGTTGTCACTTAACAGCATGTGAGGCTAATTGTAACTGATGAGTTGATTGCACTTGATCATTCCATGTGCTGAAAGCATCATTTTTCCAGTATATGCTTCTATGAGAAACAATTAAATTTACCATGGCTTTGCATTGGCACCGAACTACAAACAAACAAGAGATCAGCTCAGATGAATGTCCTTGGATCTAGGTTCAGGTCATGCTTTACAGTTTTGGGGTATACTTTGATCTTCGCTGCATTTGGATCAGCTGTAAACAGAGGGGTTTTATTACTGCTTTGTGTTACAGTAATATTTGAAGACTCCAACGAAAATCAGAACTGCTTTTGCTGGGCAGCGGGGAAGCCATGAGATGAAGGGCTGGCCCAGAAGAAAGCGTAATCTTAGCACAGAAGGCAAACAAACACAAAAAGGCGGTTGTAGTGGAAGCACAGGGAACTTCAGTGCAGGGAACAGGTTTTGCCTAAGCGCTCGGTGAGATGGTTCCTGTCTTGGTGTCATTTGGATGAGGGGAGTGAGTGGCAGCAGCCGGAGCCCTGGTGGTGCCAGGGTTGGAGTGTGGATCATTCAGACCGTGGCCAGTGGGAGGGAGGGAGGCACAAAGGCAGGGCACCCCGCTGCCGCTGGCCCACAAGAATTTTTTCTTGCCAGGGTCCAAGTTTAGACTGCTAGGTGGAGTAGGAAGGGCAGGAGCAGCCATCCTTTCCCATCTCCCTTCTGTGTTGAAACTTCAGAGCAGCCATTAGTGATTTATTAATTGTAAATGGGAGGATAGTACTTTTTTTTTTTCCCCCCAGAGGCAATTTTCTTGAATACTTCTATATTTGTTCCTGAATCAAACAAAAGAAAGCCAAGCCAAGGCTCAATGATTCTTATTGTGCAGTGATTTCCTAATTCCTTTTCTTATACTGGACAAAAGTGATAAGAGAAACCTATTCTTGAGAATTTTTTTATTGATTGTCACTGTGTTCTTCTGAAAGAAAACACCAAGCACCTACTAAAACAATGTCTCTTATGTGTTGCCAAGTAAAAGAGCAGGTTTGTTCAGTAATGTACGTATGCAAAAGCTTGAGGATTCTGTGATTATTTTTATAAATCTTTTTAATAGCTAAGAACATGGCTCAGAGCTTGTAAAAGCTGACTTCTCCAAGAACTTAGTCTTTTCATGAAGTGTTTAAAGAAATTCCAGTTATGCAAAACCTGAATGCAAATTATTACAGTCCAGTTCAACGAAGCTCTTTGGTACATGTTCCAATCCCTTCCAGAGCATGAAGTACATATCTCTGTACTTACTTAGGTGCTTAGAGATGGGTGTTACTGAGTTGAGACATAAAACAGAACCAGGTGAGACAAGAAGCAGTAAATGAAGCTGCCAAAACTATGGCAGAAAAGCATAATAAAAAGAAGACGGGTTGCTATTCCTTGCTTTCAAATTTAGAGGAATTTTACTGAAGGTGGGTTGGTCTTACAGTATACCTACAGCACCATACTCTGCCCTGGTGAGACCCCACTTGGAGCACTGGGTCCAGTTCTGGGCTCCCCAGTTCAAGAAAGATGAGGAACTCCTGGAGAGAGTCCAGAGGAGGGCAACAAGGATGAGGGGGGGACTGGAGCATCTCCCCTAGGAGGAAAGGCTGAGGGAGCTGGGCTTGTTCAGCCTGGAGAAGAGAAGGCTGAGAGGGGATCTCATCACCACCTACAAATATCTCAAGGGTGGGGGTCCCGAGGATGGAGCCAGACTCTTC